TGTTTGTAAGTTCAATCATCCAGATAAATAAATAAATACAAAAAAAGGTTAAAATCAAGTCTTTCTGGATATATTTTTTTTTGGGGGGGGGGGGACAGCCCGAGGACAACCAAGTCCAAAGTGGTTCAGACAAAGGTTGTAATCTCATCCAGGAAGATCAATATGAAGACAAAACCCTTCTCCCAAAAAATAAACTTGTCCAAATGACATCATTTAAACTTTTTTGAAAATAAAAATGTGTTCTTGAGAAAACTGTTTCTTTAAACCCAAACTTTCTGATTTCAGAAATACTTCATTTATTACACAAAGTTTTATTAAAATATGAGTCAGCCATTGCAAAAGAGAACAAGAAGTTTCAATCTGGAAAACTTAAAACAACGTTTAAACTTAAAATCATTATGTTGTCCTTTATTAGGGGTTAAAAGTAAAAACTATACATAATATTTTTGCCATGGATTTATCAAGCCTTTGTACGCAGTACATTAAAAATTGTAGATAAACATGCGAGGGTACGTCTTTTTACACATCAACAAGATCTACACAATAGCAAATTATCAATGTCTCATGATTACAAGATAATGATATATTTATTAAATAAATGCATTTGGGTAGGTTTCAATAAGTTTTACACTTACTCCCATCTCAGATAAACAAATTATTCAAAATAGTGTGTTATATTTCCTGACATTTTTTAATTAACACGATCAAATCCAGTCTCTTTCAGTAACATTAAAGCCATAAGTTTCATCAAACTCTACTTTTACAGACTCACAGTTTCTAACCCGCACCCTGACACAACATCAACAGTTCTGCTCTCACTGTTGCTTTTTTACTTTCACAAGTTGTTCACAAAGTACAAGTTACATCAACATTGGGCAAATATGAGTCATACCTTGTTCAGTTCAGTTTATGTATAAAGCACCAAGTCACAACAGAAGTCATCTCAGGGAACTGAACAAAAACATTCATAAAAATAATAATTTACCATTATTAATCTGAAGAGCTTCGAATTTAACTCCATCACAGAAGTTTCTTGAACAAGCATGAAGGCGACAGTGGAAAGGAAAAACTCCCTCATGAGGAAGAAACTTTTAGCAGAACCAGCTCAGGACAAGTGGCCATCTGCTTCGACCGGCTGGGTTTGAGAGGAACAGATACACAATGGCAGGTCGAGAATCACATGTTAAGATAGAAATAATATCAAATGAAAACTATTAAATTTTAACAATTCATTTAAGGAAATGAGGTCATTTGTCCTCTAATAATCTAAGTGTGTAGCAGCATAACAAGCCGACCCTAACTATAGGATTTATCAAAAAGGAAAGTCTTAAAACTGGACAATGTGTCAGTCTCACGGACAGAAACTGGAAGTTGGTTCCACAAGAGAGGAGCCTGAGAACTGAAAGATCTGCCTCCCATTCTGCTTTTGGAAACTCTAGGAACCACAAGTAAACCTGCGGTCTGAGAGCAAAGTGTTCTATTAGGAAAAGAGAAAGAGTATTGGTCCAAGCGCTGAACCTTGAGGAACTCCATGATTAACTTTGGTGTATGGTGAAGTTTAAGGAAGTGTTACGTTTGCCCAAACCAAAAACATGAGACTTCTATGTGCAGAACCTTGTGCCATCAGAAACTGAATTTGAATCTGCTGACTGAATCTGTCAATCTGTGCTCGATTACTCTGTGGATTTCTCAAGGATCCAGATGTGTGACACAAAAAACTGAATTTTGGAATCGAAACTGAATTATTGAACTGAAAATGAAAGTAGTCAAACTGAATTTTCAATACAACAAAATTTAGTTTCAAAACATTAAATTCAGTTTCAATTTCGTGAAATTAATTTTCAAACCAATGGATTTAATTTGAAATTACACAAATACAGATTCAGTCTGAGCGATTCAAGTTCAGTTTCTGATGGAACAAGCTTCTTTGACTGACTGGAAATATAACACTCAACAGAGGAGTGACAAACCCTTGTTTATTTTCCAAAGCAGAGTAAAAACCAGACTTAAAAAACACGGAACAGACCGACAATGACAGCTTCACAGTTTCACAGGCTGGGATCAAATCAACACGACAAACATGAACAGAAACCGAAAGCACTCGAAGTGAAACTCAGGGGAATGTGATGATGAAGGTTCTTTGACTGCAACAAAGTGACTTTTTATTCTGTCCATACTTTTCTTTCAGATTTATCATCAGAACTCTAGAAAATTGGTTACAATAGCAGCATTATAGATCAGATCTGAGATGTATCCCATAGAGGTCTGTGGTCCAACCTGCGGGTGGTGTTGGTGGCGGTGTCCCTGTCCTTGAGTTGCCTCCCAGTACACTGGTTGAGGATGGGCAGGAATGACCTGGTCTATTGAACTGCTCCCCCCTCCTCCTCCACTGTGGGCTCCATACATGGGCTGATGGTTCCCAGACGGTGCGAGGGTCTGGGGCTTGAAGTTTGTAAAGGTCTGGTAGGAACTGCTGGAGGCAGGGTGGTGAGACTGCCTGCTGATGGGTTGAGGAAAGGAGCCAGCAATCAAACCGGAGATCTTTGAACCCATGTGTGTCTGCCTGTGGTGCTCTTCTTCCCAGAAACAAGAGCCTGAAGGCTTGGAGCAGCTTTTGAGCAGCTTCTGGGCGGGCTGCTGGTGGAGGGATGAGGACGATGCTTGTGTGGAAGACACCGGGCTGCTGTAGATTTGGATCCAGTCTGAGTAAATGTGCGGCACGTCTTCACAGTAGTGGTTCGGGTCTTGCTTGAACACGTCTGCCAGAGTGGTTGATGGTGGGTTTGCGGAAGGTTCTGTAAAACCGCCACCTCTCACATCAGAATTGGTCGACTTGAGGAATCTACCAGTCTTAATACTTCTGGCTCTTCTGTTCTGGAACCAGACCTGTAGAAAACAAGAAGACTCATCGTGTTCTAGCTTGTTTTACCAAGACCATAGTACTTATACTTCAATTTAAACAAGTACTGTAACTTCTGATGGTCATGTGGGCGGTGTAGGCCAAAGCTCACCTGTATCTTGCTCTCTGGCAGGTGTGTGTGCGCTGCCAGCCTCTCCCTCAGAGTGATGTCTGGATACGGGGTCACAGCAAAGACCTGCTCCAGCTCAGACAGCTGGGCTCGACTGAAGATGGTCCTCTTTCTCTTCCTCTGGCCCTCCATCAAACCAGAGGATTGTTCTGGCTCTGGAGACGACCCGGCACACTCCCTCCCACCGTCTCACATCACAAATCAAATAAAGAGTCAGAACATTTTGAAATGAGATACAATAATAAACTAAAAATTAAAATAACATTTAAAGCTTTAAAGAAGAAACTTTTAAAAAGGCACATTGTAAAAGGTATACACATTTATCAAATAAAAACACAGAAAATAATCATTATATTAATCACATTATTAATTATTATCATTATCATTATAAGAATAATACCAATACTACTACTGCTATGAATAATGATCATAATAATAATAATAGTAATAATAATAAGAATCATAAAAATAATACCAATACTACTAGTACTACAACTAATAATAATAACCATAATAAAAATCATAATAATAATGATAATAATAATAATAGTGATGATGATGATGATAATAATGATAATAATAATGATTATGATAATAATAACAATAATAATCATCATCATCATAAGAATAATCATAAGAATAATATCAATATTACCACTACTATGAATACAGTAATAATAATAATAACAATAATAATAATGATACGAAAATAATAATAATTATAATAACAATGATGTTATTATTATTATTATTAATAATAACAATAATAATAGTTATTATTATTATGTTAAGAATACTAATAATACTACTACTAATAATAATAATAATCATCGTTGTCATAATAATAAGAACAATACTACTACTATTATTATTATTATTATTATTATTATTATTATTATTATCAATAATAATAATAACAACAATAATAATGATGATAATGAAAACAGTAATATTATTATTAATGTTAGTAATAATAATAATATTAAAAATGACAATAATAATAATAATAATAATAATAAGATAGATTAAGATTTCAAAGGTGCAAATGGTAAAATCTGCTCCCTGAAGATAAACTTTAATTTCTGTGAAAGTTGGCGTGGTGATAATAATAGAACTACGCGGGGCTCACCTTCAGCGGGGTGTTGAGCTCCAAACAAAGGTTTCAGGTCTTTCTGCTGGTTCTGTTGGATCACAGGGAACTCAGCGTCCACCAGCAGAGCCATCGATGCACAGACACACTTCTGCTGCTCAGTCTCCACCGATCCTCTGAGATGAGGACGAGTCAGGAGCTTCTTATACCCCCCACAGATCAGCTGGGACAGTCGGTACTCCTCACTAATCCAGGTGTTCTGCACCTCTGGAAGCTTCAGTTTTAGACAGAATTGTTTTCAAACTTTGTTGTTACGACTCTGACAAGATTTAAAATGGCTGATGGACACCATGGGTACAATCAAAATTCTCTAGAAGCTATTTAAGAAACAACATGAATATACTTAATAATATAATAACCTAGATTTGATAGCTTAATATCCCTGTGATGAAACAAAATATAGCTGTTACAAAAAGTCATTTCTGTCACAAACAATGTTTTTATGATGCACGAGCAGGAAATTATTGTGCATTTTATTCCCAAGTAGGTCACGGGGCTTTAATCTATTGAACTCATAACAAACCTCTGTTCTCACAAAACAAGACCCAGATTATGACCCTTCATAATCTGTGAGCTCAGCATGACATCATGAATTAGAACCTCTTCAGGCAGAATTCAAGTGTGTCACCCGCTGTCAGAAGGTGAAGGCACGCAATAATGTTTTGTCTCTTTGGTTTCATCTTTGTGTGTCAGCAAAATATCACATGAACCACAGGATGAATGGGAATAAAATGTGAAGAAAGTAACCATTAGATTAATATCTGAAGTCAATCTAATTCAAGATGGCCGCCTCAGCTGTGCAACTTTGAAAAACACAAAAATGGCCGTAACTCTGTACATTTTATGGATTTTGACAGATTTGGTGTACAAACAGCTGAGACTGATCCCCAACACATAAAAGTGCTAAAAGATTGGCAAGATCTTTGTTTAAAACTTTGCCTTGAATTATGTGGAGTCAACTCTGCTTGTCTGTTAGCAAAATATCTCATGAACGCCTTGATAGATTTTAATAAAAAATAACATCTATACCTGATGAACATTCAGTCAATCCAATTAAAAATGGCCAATTTAGCTAATCAAGATCAAAATAATGTCTATAAGTCAGAAAATATTACAACATTTGATGTGACCAACTGAGAGTCATTCACAAAAGTGTGTTACAATAGAAAGCATTAGATTTAGCCAGAAGCTCATTAGCCCCACTTTTAGTTCTTCATCCAGCTTGAGCTTGTAGCAATATGTCCAGTTTCACTTCATTCAACCTTATTTCTACAGGTTAGTGTCATTGAGCCTCGAGGACTCGTTGACAAGAGAGACCTGATTTAAACAAAGAGCACAGACGAGGCACAGACAACAGACAATCATGTAAAAAGCACATAAAATGAAAAGTAAATAAAAGTAAATATATTTAAAAAAAATAGCTACATTATAAAGTGATGTAAAATATTAAAAGCTGGAACGTGTCTGCGATGTTTTTTTTACCAAGAACTTAACAGATGTTTAAAATCACTCAGAGAGGTCAAAGGTCGAGAGCTTCAGATCTTTTTACAAGATGTTCCAGGAAATGGGAGCGGAGTAGGAGAAGGTCCTTTTGCCAAGTTCAGTCCTCACTGGGGGAACATTGCAGGTAATAATGTCCTGAGAGCGCACGCTGTAGCTGCACTCACACAGAGACATGTAGGAGGAGATGTAAGATAAGAAAAGATAAGAAAGAACTTTATTGATCCTGCAGGAAATTGTTGTGCCAGAGTTTCAGTACAAAGGAACAAAG